AGAAACAGAGTGTATGGAGAGTTTAAAGAATTTGGTTTAAGAGATTGAAAGAGAGAGGCAAAAAAAAGAGCAGATAAACAAGAAAAGCTAGGAAATTTAAAAAGGAAATTTTTCAGTTTTAAAAAGAGTAGGGGGGGGTTGTAGATGGGGGGGGCTGGAGGTTTTGGGTAGAGGCGGGAATTTTTGGTTAGGAAAATTTTAAAGTCGAAAAAAGGGAAAAAGGGGGGCCCGGGGGGAATTTCATGCATGGTAGGGGGGTATAAAATTTTTTAGGGGTTAAGAAAAAGCAGGATTTAGTGTGGGGGGGGGTGCATGAAAGGGATTTATGTAAAAATTTAAAGGGGGGTTTAAAACAGCGGAAATATGGGAATTTATGATAGAAATGTTTAAAAGCAGGGGTAGATATGTGTTGTAGTGGTTGGGATTTTTGTTTTAAAAAATGTATGAAAGGGAAAGGGAAAAGGGACCCAGGGGGGTGGAAAAGAATGCAGTATAGTTCCCTTTTTTTAAAAGGGGAAGGGGGGGCAAAAGAGAAATTTTAAAAATTATAGGGGGAAAAAGTTTAGGAAATTTTACCAGGTGAAGTGTATGGTAGGGGTTTTTTTTGAAAAATATTAGGGTAAGACAGGAGTGGATTGCAGTATTTAGATAAAAGGGAGGGAAGTTTTTTTTTTGAAATTTTTTGGATTTAGGAAAAGGGATATGTAAAAAGGGGATAGAGGAGCAATGTGGCAGATGTTGTTTAAATTATTTGGGAAAAGGTAATAAAGGTTTCCAAATTTCTGTAAAGAGTTTTTATGAGGATACGAAGTCATGTTAGGGTGTGTAGGAGAGGGGGAGATTTCTTTTCCCCGTTTTTAAAATTGATCTTAGGGCAAAGGGGGGGGGGGTAATGTCACCATGGTGGTTTAATTATTTATAGATGGGGGTTTTAAAGGGAAATAAAAGCTGGTTGTTGGGGAGAGGGGGGGGTTAAATTAGGGGGAAACAAAACATAAAGGGGGTTGATTTCCCGGGGCTTTTGCTGATGATACTGTGCTTATGGGAGATTCTAAAAAAAGTTGCAAAGGTTAGTGGGCGAGTTTGGGAGGTGGGGTAAAGGGAAAAAAATCAGTGCATGTGAAAGAATATTAGATCCCCAGTTGACGTGTATTGGACATGTGGTGTGATTTATTTACTCCTGAACATTGGTAAAAATCGAACATTTCCGCTACTTTGAGCTCAGTTTCAAGGTCGTTTTCATCGTCTAAGTAATAAAAATCATCTCTATTTCTGTAATATGTTTTCCATTTTATCACCTAAGACCATGAAAACGCGAATACAACGATAAATACTATACGAAAATACACCTCAAAGTCAGCGTTTTATTCCCAAAAAACGATAAGTTTTTTTTTTCTCATTACGCAATGTGTGCTGCAGGATTTTTTTTGTGGTGCACACTGACCACACAGACCCATTCTCTCACATGTGGGCCTACCAGCTTTCTCCCGCTTGATTTGAAGCCGCTAGAATTATTGAGTATACATGTATATACGTCAGAAACATTGGCTCGTAAGACGTATTTATACGTCGAAAACAGTCGAAGGGTTAAAGACAAGGTTTGGGATATTTGCAGTTTGGAGGGGTATATTATATATCTTTATTTATTATTTTTTTTTTTATTATCACACCGGCCGATTCCCACCAAGGCAGGGTGGCCCGAAAAAGAAAAACTTTCACCATCATTCACTCCATCACTGTCTTGCCAGAAGGGTGCTTTACACTACAGTTTTTAAACTGCAACATTAACACCCCTCCTTCAGAGTGCAGGCACTGTACTTCCCATCTCCAGGACTCAAGTCCGGCCTGCCGGTTTCCCTGAATCCCTTCATAAATGTTACTTTGCTCACACTCCAACAGCACGTCAAGTATTAAAAACCATTTGTCTCCATTCACTCCTATCAAACACGCTCACGCATGCCTGCTGGAAGTCCAAGCCCCTCGCACACAAAACCCCTTTACCCCCTCCCTCCAACCCTTCCTAGGCCGACCCCTACCCCGCCTTCCTTCACTACAGACTGATACACTCTTGAAGTCATTCTGTTTCGCTCCATTCTCTCTACATGTCCGAACCACCTCAACAACCCTTCCTCAGCCCTCTGGACAACAGTTTTGGTAATCCCGCACCTCCTCCTAACTTCCAAACTACGAATTCTCTGCATTATAGTCACACCACACATTGCCCTCAGACATGACATCTCCACTGCCTCCAGCCTTCTCCTCGCTGCAACATTCATCACCCACGCTTCACACCCATATAAGAGCGTTGGTTAAAACTATACTCTCATACATTCCCTTCTTTGCCTCCAAGGACAAAGTTCTTTGTCTCCACAGACTCCTAAGTGCACCACTCTCACTCTTTTTCCCTCATCAATTCTATGATTCACCTCATCTTTCATAGACCCATCCGCTGACACGTCCACTCCCAAATATTGAATACGTTCACCTCCTCCATACTCTCTCCCTCCAATCTGATATTTCAATCTTTCATCACCTAATCTTTTTGTTATCCTCATAACCTTACTCTTTCCTGTATTCACTTTAATTTTCTTCTTTTGCACACCCTACCAAATTCATCCACAATCTCTGCAACTTCTCTTCAGAATCTCCCAAGAGCACAGTGTCATCAGCAAAGAGCAGCTGTGACAACTCCCACTTTGTGTGTGATTCTTTATCTTTTAACTCCACGCCTCTTGCCAAGACCCTCGCATTTACTTCTCTTACAACCCCATCTATAAATATATTAAACAACCACGGTGACATCACACATCCTTGTCTAAGGCCTACTTTTACTGGGAAAAAATTTCCCTCTTTCCTACATACTCTAACTTGAGCCTCACTATCCTCGTTAAAAACTCTTCACTGCTTTCAGTAACCTACCTCCTACACCATACACTTGCAACATCTGCCACATTGCCCCCCTATCCACCTGTCATACGCCTTTTCCAAATCCATAAATGCCACAAAGACCTCTTTAGCCTTATCTAAATACTGTTCACTTATATGTTTCACTGTAAACACCTGGTCCACACACCCCCTACCTTTCCTAAAGCCTCCTTGTTCATCTGCTATCCTATTCTCCGTCTTACTCTTAATTCTTTCAATTATAACTCTACCATACACTTTACCAGGTACACTCAACAGACTTATCCCCCTATAATTTTTGCACTCTCTTTTATCCCCTTTGCCTTTATACAAGGAACTATGCATGCTCTCTGCCAATCCCTAGGTACCTTACCCTCTTCCATACATTTATTAAATAATTGCACCAACCACTCCAAAACTATATCCCCACCTGCTTTTAACATTTCTATCTTTATCCCATCAATCCCGGCTGCCTTACCCCCTTTCATTTTACCTACTGCCTCACGAACTTCCCCCACACTCACAACTGGCTCTTCCTCACTCCTACAAGATGTTATTCCTCCTTGCCCTATACACGAAATCACAGCTTCCCTATCTTCATCAACATTTAAACAATTCCTCAAAATATTCCTTCCATCTTCCAATACCTCTAACTCTCCATTTAATAACTCTCCTTCTCTATTTTTAACTGACAAATCCATTTGTTCTCTAGGCTTTCTTAACTTGTTAATCTCACTCCAAAACTTTTTCTTATTTTCAACAAAATTTGTTGATAACATCTCACCCACTCTCTCATTTGCTCTCTTTTTACATTGCTTCACCACTCTCTTAACTTCTCTCTTTTTCTCCATATACTCTTCCCTCCTTGCATCACTTCTACTTTGTAAAAACATCTTTATATATGCTACTAAACTGTTGTATCTGGGCACCTCTGCAAAGACAGTGATTATGTGTGAGTGAGGTGATAGTGTTGAATGATGATGAAAGTATTTTCCTTTTGGGGATTTTCTTACTTTTTGGGTCACCCTGCCTCAGTGTGAGAAGGCCGATGTGTTGAAAAAAAAATATGTATATGTATATATATATATACCCTAGGTAGTAGGTTGGTAGACAGCAACCGCCAAGGGAAGTACTACCTTCCTGCCAAGTGAGTGTAAAACGGAAGCCTGTAATTGTTTTACACGCTGGTAGGATTGCTGGTGTCTTTTTTTTCTGTCTCATACACATGCAAGATTTCAGGTACATCTTGCTGCTACTACTTACACTTAGGTCACACTATACATACATGTACAAGCATATATATACACACCCCTCTGGGTTTTCTTCTATTTTCTTTCTAATTCTTGTTCTTGTTTATTTCCTTTTACCTCCATGGGGAAGTGGAACAGAATTCTTCCTCCGTAAGCCATGCGTGTTGTAGTAGGCAACTAAAATGCCAGGAGCAAGGGGCTAGTAACCCCTTCTCCTGTATATATTACTAAATGTAAAAGGAGAAACTTTCGTTTTTCCTTTTGGGCCACCCCGCCTTGGTGAGATACAGCCAGTGTGTTGAAAGAAGAAAGATATATATATACATATATACATATACATATATATACAGTGGAACCTTGGCTTATGAGTTTAAGCCATTCCGTGACCTTGCTCGTATGCCGAGTCAGTTTTCCCCATTTAAATTAGTTGTGATTAACTGTGATTAACTGACTGACTGACTTACTGACTTGACTGACTTGACTGACTGAATGACTTGACTGACTGAATGACTTGACTGACTGAATGACTTGACTGACTGAATGACTTGACTGACTGAATGACTTGACTGACTGAATGACTTGACTGACTGAATGACTTGACTGACTTACTGGATGACTTAACCCTTTGATAGGCAAGCCTAAAAAAATTGTGAATTTTGAAATGCATTTCCTATGAGTCGATAGAGTGTCTCAATGTAAGGTAAATGAGCCCATAGAAATGAAGTTGTGAAAGGTTGTTTTTGATCAATTGCCAATATGCGAAGACCGATAAAAGTAGGTCTTGCCTACCTAAGGGTGAACATTTATTAATGTTGCAGAGTTGCAATTGTTAATAAAAAGACCAAATAACTATTTTTTAATTTTATTAGACAAAAAGACAATATCAAAAACATAAATTGAACTTGTTTTCCAACATTTTGTAAGTATTAAAATAATACAAAAATGAACCAAGTAGCAACATGGACACATTGCAAAGGGATATAACTTTCAATACCCACATTCCTGAGTTTCCTGAGAAAGAACAGTCGTTCTAGATCACTAATTTTTACAATGAAACTTTATGAAGCAATTTCTATCCTACTTGATACATAGATTTACTTTGCATATGGCACAGGAAAATGAGGATGTGACATGCTGTTTGTGTGTGCTGCAAAACTTGCATGTAAGTAGCTTGCCTGACACAGGGTTGTGTCAAACCTCACACTGTCATCTGGCCTTTCTGCACATTGGTACTGCATTGTAGATGGCAATTGCAAGGATGGCAAATCATCATTACTGTCACCATTGGAAGTACTTGATGAAGCTGTTGAACTTCTTGAATTTGTTCTTATGATGCTGCGTCTCAACGTTTGTCCTTCGGATCTTGCAGTGATAGAGATGTCAAGCTTGAATAGCCTCAGTGGCATGCATTTGGTATTTAGTGACCGACAATCACGACAGTAAAGAAGCCATGCATTCACAACAGCAAGATCCAGAACATAGGCAAACAGCCGCATGTACCAACGTTTAGATTTCATTTCATAGGTGTTTTGTACAGATGCACCAACATGTTACTTTTGTCAATACCTCCCATGTGTGCATTATAGCATGTTACTTTTGTCAATACCTCCCATGTGTGCATTATAGTTCTTGATGACTGCAGGGCACTGGAACTCGTTTTTCATCTTTTTATCCTTGTTATATCTTTCAATAGGAGTCACAGGATTAACCCCCACATCATTTGTCACTAAAGTCACAACTTTATTGTCCTTCCATCTTACAACAAGGATACCATCATTGGTTTTGTAATCAAAAGTCTCCCTGGGCACTATGTTCTTCTCCATTTGTTTGACAGGCATCAGTTCTGGCTTACCTCATCTATTTTCACGTACTGTTCCAGTGTATCTGCAGTTATATTTTTCTCTTAGCAACTTGAGCAAAGGAAGACTTGAAAAGAAATTGTCAGCATAGATTGCTGATGTATTTCTTTGGTTGAGAGTTGTTGCAAGCACCAGAACAATCTTCGAACTTATTGGTAGTTTACTATCTTCATGTGACAGCTTTATGGGATGGTTGTCAAAAGTTGTTTTGCCTTCATACATAGGTATATCGTGTATGATTCCATCTTCACTTGCATGACAAAATAGTTTTAAAACCCCACTTGTCTGGTTTGGTTTTGATGTACTGCCTTAGGTTTCCAGCGGTTTTACCTTTGAAACCAACCATAACTTCATCAATAGATTGCTTGGGTGTAGCTGGAACTTTCAAGCAAGCATTAGTTAGTGCAATGTAAAGAGGCCTTATTTTGTGGAATCTGTCATTATTCTTCTGTTGTGTGTTATCATTGAAATGAATGATATGCCTAAGTAACAAAACCTCTTAGTTCCCATGACTTCTGAAACCTGGATTGCCTTAGTTGCAGCTGCCCAATAGTCCTGAATGCATGGGTTTGAAATCATACCCATATACAACAGAATACCTATGAACCTCGTGATTTTTTCAGAATTGGTTTGAAAAGTGCTGTGTATGTTTTTTGCCTGGCATACAAATTAGTTTGGAATGTGATATGGTCTATCATGTCTTGAGTAAAAAAATTGCTAAAATAGTCATATGCACACCTAACTGCAAGAGGTTTTTCATGTTCACTCACTACGAAAGCAAAAGACTTGGCAGACAATGCAACATCCCCCCAATGAAAAGCAGGGGTGTCACTAGCACGTTAAGAGACCATACAATAAGTGTCAGGGGCCCGAGACTGTTCAACTGCCTCCCAGCATACATAAGGGGGATTACCAACAGACCCCTGGCAGTCTTCAAGCTGGCACTGGACAAGCACCTAAAGTCGGTTCCTGACCAGCCGGGCTGTGGCTCGTACATTGGTTTGCGTGCAGCCAGCAGCAACAGCCTGGTTGATCAGGCTCTGATCCACCAAGAGGCCTGGTCACAGACCGGGCCACGGGGGCGTTGACCCCCAGAACTCTCTCCAGGTAAACAGGCAAAGGGTCATTGTGGATGTCAACCCTATTCCAGTTGGTCTGAGTTTGAGAAGAAAGCTCATCATGAAGATCTTCGTCAGGGTACTCCTCGATCACAATACCTTTCTTTTTCTTGTCTAATTTTGGCTTTTTGGATGGTCTAGCTTCCTCCTCTTCATCAGTTGACACCTCTGCATCCTGTGGCAAGTACTCATCATCACTGTCAAGCAATTCCAGATCATCTGCCTCTGCATCAGAGTCACCTTCCTCCAAAATGCAGAGATATTTGGACTTGTCTTTGGAGGACTCACCATAAAACAATTTCTGATTGATCTGGAAGGACAATAAAAACGTTCTGTACACACCCAGGCCACTACAGAATTGATATATGCATTAAAATTTTTTTTTATAAATATTTATTTACTGAAAATTAAAATTGGGCCAAAATAGGCAAGAACGATATTTTTTGGTCTTTTTTTGTTGCGCTTTTTTCCTTTGCATGGTGCACTCACATTATGCTTCACACAGACTTCATATATATATCAAAATACAGTGGCCCCTCGGTTTACGATATTATTTCATTCCAGAAGTATGTTCAGGTGCCAGTACTGAACGAATTTGTTCTCATAAGGAATATTGTGAATTAGATTAGTCCATTTCAGACCCCCAAACATACACGTACAAATGCACTTACATAAATACACTTACATAATTGGTCGCATTGGGAGCTGATCGTAAAGCGGGGGTCCACTGTATGCCTAAATTTTCATTTACACACTAGAAACACAAATGAGTACTTACCAACATTGTAGAGGGTAAAATCCAAGGGTATACGAGTGTCACTCGATGAAAAAAACGTCTCTCGGAGACGCCAAGCTAGAAGTGTTTACATTTTGGTCTCTCAACCAATGGGAAGCTAGCAGAAGCCATCACCACTTAGCTGGAGCGACTCAGGGAAGGCTTGTGATTGGTCAGAAATACAGAATGGGAACCCAGATGCTCAGTGGGTGTAGGAGGAATGCGCTGAATATCATGCTTTCAAGAACAACAATTGTCGTTCTTGCCTTTTTCACTGAAGAGGACCCTGAAATGGTGTATAGAGCAGCTGATGTTTTACCGTCAGTTGTATAATGTACTGCAGGGGAAAATAGAACAGAAATCCATTACAGAATTTATGCACACTCCAGTACAACCATCGACTTCAGTACCAGAACCTCTACCATCACCTCAGCCCAGTAGGGTCACAGCATAACTCTCCACTCTCTTCCACAATCATCCACAAACACCAGGTCCCACAATTTAAGGTAAGAAATACTATTATTTCTGTTGCAGTTATAGTCTTAAGCAGTAAAAACAACATAATACATCACAACAATGAACTGCAATTATATATTCATTTTTATTTTTGTAAGATCTGGGAGTCTAAAAAAAAAATTGTTGGAGCGGGAAGCTCGCATCCTGAATTTTTGCTTGTATCCAGAAACAAAAAATCGACAGAGCAACTACTCGTATCCTGAAAAATTCGTATGGTGGGGCACTCATAAGCCGAGGCTCCATGATGTTTATGCCATGTTCTTTTCTACTTAATTTTAAAAGTTCTTTGTCTTTCTTTTACACTTGCATGTTGATTTCTTGCCTGTTTCTTATACTGGTTGAAAGACCTTATGTTTCACAGCTCTCTCTTGGTCACCGGTATTTTGAGTCCCGGAATTCTGATTCTCAGTATTTTAACTCACGGTATTTTGACTCCCAGTATTTTGACCCCTGATATTTTGAATCTTGGTATTTTGACTCCCAATATTTTGACTTCCAGTATTTTGACTCCCGGCATTTTTACTCCCGGTATTTTGACTCCCAATATTTTGATTCTCTATATTTTTACTATTGATGTTTTGACTCCCGGTATGACTCTTGGTATTTTGACTCCCGGTGTTTTTGCTCCCTATATTTTGGCTCCTGGTATTCTGGCTCCCGATACACAAATACTGTAATCCGTACATAGGAGAGAGGAGCTTACGACGACATTTCAGTCCAACTTGGACCACAACATCGTCATAAGCTCCTCTCTCCTATATGCGGGTAATTTGTGTATTGTTCCAGTCAAGGTATTGTGCCATTTTTTTTTATTTATTGACTCCCGATATTTTGACTCCCAGTATTATGACTCTTGGTATTTTGACTCCCTATACAGTGGACTCCCGAGTTTCGTGATTAATCCGTTCCAGAGAGCCTGCTGAAAGTCGAAATTGCCGAACGGCAAAACCATTTTCCCCATAAGAAATAATGGAAATAAAATTAATCCGTTCCAGACACCCAAAAATATTAAAATAAAATATTTTTTTCAAATTAAATAAAGATTTACATACATGAAAACAATGAGAAATTAAGTACATGCATATAAAAGATAACATTACACTTACCTTTACTGAAGACTTCTGGGTGGATGGAAGATGGGAGGAGGGGATAGGAGGAAGGTGTACACTATTGTTTGGAACTAGAATCTCCTTCCATTAGGACTTCAGGTATGAAGTCCTTATCTGGGGTTACTTCCCTTCTTTGTTTTTTAAAGACACTGGCACTGGGAACAACTTGAGAGTCACTGGAACCTTGTCGCACAAAATATCTGTCCAGAGAGCTCTGTTTCTGGCGTTTCTTTAAGATTTGTCTGAAGTGGGACACAACACTGTCATTGTACATGTTGCCAATATGGCCTGCAACAGCTTTGTTAGGGTGAAGTTCATCCATAAATGTTTGCACTTCAGTCCACTTTGCACAAATGTCCTTAATCTTTGAAGAAGGCACCTTCCTCCATCTCTCTTCCTCTTCCTCCATCTCTCTTCCTCTTCCTCCTCTGCAGCAGTTTCCTGAGCTGTGATCTCTTGCTGTTGCAGATGAAGCTCTTGCAGCTCTTTAGTGGTTAGCTCTTCCCTGTGGTCCTCCACCAACTCTTCCACATCCTCACCACTCACCTCCAACCCCAGGGACATCCCCAATGCCACAATAGATTCCACAGCTGGCATATTTTTCAATGATTTCCTTCTTGAATTCGATCGTGTTCCTCACTTTTTTTACCAAAGGGCTTGCACTAGCTTTCCTTGGGCCCATGGTGACTTATTTAGCAGTTACAATCACAAAAAACAGTGGATTATTACGTATGAACCCGCGGGGTGATGGTCACGTGTTGGTAAACAATGGCACACTGAGCGTGAATGGCGTGGGAGACTGGCTTCATGTGCGTGGTGATGGGCAGACGGGTACTGGACGGTCGCCGAATCACAAGTCTAATCATGAACCGCGAGGCCAAATTTTGCCTAAAAAACTTGCCGAAAGTCGGATTTCACGAAAATCGATGCCGCTGAAGCTCGAGGGTCCACTGTATTTTGATTCCAAGTGTCCAAGTGTTTTGATTCCCGGTATTTTGACTCCTGATATTTTGACTCCAGGTATTTTGACTCCCGATATTTTGACTCCTGGTATTCTGACTCCAGGTGTTTTGACTCCCGGTATTTTGATTCCCGATATTTTGACTCATATTTTGACTCCCGGTGCATTTTAACCTCACTCAATTTCACTCTTGGTAATTTCTCTCCCAATACAAACAAATCAACATTAAAAGTCCATTTAATTAAAATATTTATTAAAATGTACAAGAGGGTGAGTTAGGTCAGATTACGATAAACTAGATTTGGTAAAGTTAGTTTAGTTTTAATTAGGGATGATTAGGTTAGGTTTGGTTACGTAAAAGAATGTTAAGCTACATAATACATTTTTAGCTTTAATAATAATCATATCTGGGTGCTAGTGGACTGTGTAGGTTGCATCCTGGGACAAAACTGACCTAATTTGCCCAAAATGCTCAGCATAACAAGCAGCTTTCTATATAGTAGTATGTCATTGATGTCAACTAGGCCTGTATACCTTGTACATGTACTTGTAGAAATAAAGATAGTAGTATTACATTATTATTATAATTAATCCATATATTTATATTAGTGGATGACATCTCTCCATGGGTCCTGAGAGAGGGAGCAGAGGTGCTATGTGTGCCACTAACAACAATCTTCAACACATGTATCGAAACAGGGCAACTACCTGAGCTATGGAAGACAGCAAATGTAGTCCCAATCTTTAAAAAAAGTAGACAGACACGAAGTATTAAACTACAGACCAGTGTCACTGACATGTATAATATACAAAGTCATGGAGAAGATTATCAGAAGAAGAGTGGTGGAGCACCTAGAAAGAAATGAGCTTATCAGTGACAACCAGCATGGTTTCAGGGATGGGAAATCCTGTGTCACAAACCAACTGGAGTTATATGACAGGGTGACAGCAGGAAAACAAGACAAAGAGGGGTGGGTAGATTGCACTTTCTTGGACTGTAAGAAGGCCTTTGACACAGGTCCACATAAGAGATTAGTACATAAGATGGAGGCTATGCAGGTATAACAGGGAAGGCACTGCAATGGATCAGGGATTGCCTGTCGTGCAGACATCAGTGAGTCATGGTACGTGATGAGGTGTCAGAGTGGGTGCCTGTGGCAAGCGGGGTTCCATAGGGTTCAGTCCTAGGACCAGTGCTGTTTCTGGTATATGTATATGTGAATGACACGACGGAAGGAATAGACTCAGAAGTATCCCTGTTTGCAGATGATGTGAAGTTGATAAGAATAATTCAATTGGACAAGGACCAGGCAAAACTACAAAGGGATCTGGACAGGCTGCAGGCCTGGTCCAGAAACTGGCTCCTGAACTGTGTACCTCTTCAGTACAGGAAAGACTGTGCTATAACTTAAATTGCCAGGCATACCATCTAAAGGGGACAAAAAGATACAAAACATCCAGGCCATGGGAAAACCTGGGTAGCCACAGCCTTGAGTGGCTGTGGCTACCCAGGTTTTCCCATGGCCTGGATGTTTTGTATCTTTTTGTCCCCTTTAGATGGTATGCCTGGCAATTTAAGTTATAGCACAGAGGTTTTTTAGTGCCAGGAAGGAAAAAAAACTGGCAGGAAATGGCAGAAATCGTACACCAAATCCAGTCATTCCTGGAGTGGAACCACAGTCGATGGCCTCCACTCCAAACCAACAGATACAGATACTAATGCCGGAAAAAAAATCCCCCCCCAGTACCAACAATACCACCAGTCCGATAACATTCTTCTTTGCAAATATACAGGGTCTAAAGCCAGCAACAAACAACAAAATACCTTTCATCCGTGGACTGCTTGCAGAGGTAAAGGCAATGTTCGCGGCTTTCACTGAGACCCACATAAAGGATCACTTGGACAACGAAATATGGATCCCAGGTTACAACCTATACAGATGTGACAGAGTGAACAGGCAAAAGGGGGGTTGGCCTGTACATTGCAGAGTCACTTGTTTGCACAGAACTGCTAAATGCCTCAAATGATGTAGTGGAAGTTTTAGCAGTAAAGGTCGAGAACCAAAACCTAGTCATTGTGGTAGTCTACAAGCCTCCGGATGCAACATCCCAGCAATTCCAGGAACAGCTGTTAAAAATTGACCACTGTCTGGAAAATCTTCCAGCTCCTGCACCCAACATCTTGCTCCTGGGGGATTTCAACTTAAGGCACCTAAAATGGAGGAATATAGCAAATAATATTGTTGCAGTAATAACACCAGGAGGCAGCTCTGATGAAAACTCACACTCACGTGAGCTTTTAAATCTCTGCACAAAATTCAATTTAAACCAGCAAATAATAGAGCCTACTAGACTGGAGAATACACTAGACCTTATCTTCACTAACAATGATGATCTGATAAGAAATGTCACCATATCAAAAACAATATACTCAGATCACAACATAATTGAGGTTCAGACATATATGCGCGGAGCCCCAGACCGACATAATGAGATTAGTCACGAGGGAGCATTCACCAAATTCAACTTCAATAACAAAAACATAAAGTGGACCAAGTAACCAAGTTCTAACCGTATAAGCTGGGAAGATATATAAGCAACACAGACCCAACTTATGCCTAGAACAGATTAACTCGGTGGCACTCGTATGTATGCACAAGGCTTATTCCTCTAAGAAAAAGGAGGAGTAGATGTAAAATAGAAAGAGACAGGCGCTCCTTTACAGGCGACGGAAAAGAATAACAGAGCGGCTAAAAGAGGTCAATATATCTGAAATGCGTAGGGAGACACTGGTCAGAGAAATTAGCAAGCATCGAACTTAAGCTAAAGAATCCTTTAGGAGTCAGGAATCGCGGGAAGAATTAAAAGCCATAAATGAAATCGAAAGAAACCCAAAGTATTTCTTCTCCTATGCCAAATCAAAATCGAGAACAACGTTCCAGTATTGGGCCCCTACTTAAACAAGATGGGTCCTACACAGATGACAGCAAGGAAATGAGTGAGCTACTCAAGTCCCAATATGACTCAGTTTTTAGCAAGCCGCTAACCAGACTGAGAGTCGAAGATCAAATTGATTTTTTATGAGAGAGCCACAAAATTTGATTAACACAAGCCTATCCGATGTTATCCTGACGCCAAATGACTTCGAACAGGCGATAAATGACATGCCCATGCACTCTGCCCCAGGCCAGACTCATGGAACTCTGTGTTCATCAAGAACTGCAAGAAGCCCCTATCACGAGCCTTTTCCATCCTATGGAGAGGGAGCATGGACACGGGGGTCGTCCCACAGTTACTAAAAACAACAGACATAGCCCCACTCCACAAAGGGGGCAGTAAAGCAACAGCAAAGAACTACAGACCAATAGCGCTAACATCCCATATCATAAAAATCTTTGAAAGGGTCCTAAGAAGCAAGATCACCACCCATCTAGAAACCCATCAGTTACACAACCCAGGGCAACATGGGTTTAGAACAGGTCGCTCCTGTCTGTCTCAACTATTGGATCACTACGACAAGGTCCTAAATGCACTAGAAGACAAAAAGAATGCAGATGTAATATATACAGACTTTGCAAAAGCCTTCGACAAGTGTGACCATGGCGTAATAGCGCACAAAATGCTCGCTAAAGGAATAACAGGAAAAGTCGGTCGATGGATCTATAATTTCCTCACTAACAGAACACAGAGAGTAGTCATCAACAGAGTAAAGTCCGAGGCAGCTACGGTGAAAAGCTCTGTTCCACAAGGCACAGTACTCGCTCCCATCTTGTTCCTCATCCTCATATCCGACATAGACAAGGATGTCAGCCACAGCACCGTGTCTTCCTTTGCAGATGACACCCGAATCTGCATGACAGTGTCTTCCATTGCTGACACTGCAAAGCTCCAGGCGGACATCAACCAAATCTTTCAGTGGGCTGCAGAAAACAATATGAAGTTCAACGATGAGAAATTTCAATTACTCAGATATGGTAAACATGAGGAAATTAAATCTTCATCAGAGTACAAAACAAATTCTGGCCACAAAGTAGAGCGAAACACCAACATCAAAGACCTGGGAGTGATCATGTCGGAGGATCTCACCTTCAAGGACCATAACATTGTATCAATCGCATCTGCTAGAAAAATGACAGGATGGATAATGAGAACCTTCAAAACTAGGGAGGCCAAGCCCATGATGACACTCTTCAGGTCACTTGTTCTATCTAGGCTGGAATATTGCTGCACACTAACAGCACCTTTCAAGGCAGGTGAAATTGCCGACCTAGAAAATGTACAGAGAACTTTCACGGCGTGCATAACGGAGATAAAACACCTCAATTACTGGGAGTGCTTGAGGTTCCTAAACCTGTATTCCCTGGAACGCAGGAGGGAGAGATACATGATTATATACACCTGGAAAATCCTAGAGGGACTAGTACCGAACTTGCACACGAAAATCACTCACTACGAAAGCAAAAGACTTGGCAGACGATGCACCATCCCCCCAATGAAAAGCAGGGGTGTCACTAGCACGTTAAGAGACCATACAATAAGTGTCAGGGGCCCGAGACTGTTCAACTGCCTCCCAGCACACATAAGGGGGATTACCAACAGACCCCTGGCAGTCTTCAAGCTGGCACTGGACAAGCACCTAAAGTCAGTTCCTGATCAGCCGGGCTGTGGCTCGTACGTTGGTTTGCGTGCAGCCAGCAGCAACAGCCTGGTTGATCAGGCTCTGATCCACCAGGAGGCCTGGTCACAGACCGGGCCGCGGGGGCGTTGACCCCCGGAACTCTCTCCAGGTAAATTCCAGGTAGAGCTCAACCCCAGCAAGAGCAAAGTCATGAAGAGTGGGAAGGGCAAAGAAGACCGCAGATGGATTAGTCTAGGGAGCCAGAGATTACAAACCTCACTCAAGGAAAAGGATCTAGGGGTGAGCATAACACCGGGTACATCTCCTGAGGTGCATGTCAACCAAATAACTACTGCAGCATATGAGTGCCTAGCAAACCTAAGAATTGTATTCCGACATCTCAGTAAGGAATTGTTCAGGACCCTGTACACCGTGTATGTTAGACTTATATTGGAGTATGCAGCACCGGTTTGGAACCCACACCTAGCCAAGCACATAAAAAAATTAGAGAAAGTGCAAAGGTTTACAACTAGACTAGTCCTGGACCTAAGGGGCATGTCCTACGAGGAGAGATTAATGGAAATTGACCTGGCAACGCTAGAGGACAGGAGAGAGAGAGATGATAATGACATAAAATACTGAGAGGAATTGACAAGGTAGACAGAGACAGGATGTTCCAGAGATGGGACACAGCAACAAGGGGTTACAATTGGAAGTTGAAGACTCAGATGAATCAGAGCGATGTTAGGAAGTATTTCTTCAGTCACAGAGTTGTCAGAAAATGGAATAGTCTGGGAAGTGATGTAGTGGAGGTAGGATCCATACATAGCTTAAAGAAGAGGTATGATAAAGTTCATGGAGCTGGAAGAGTCGCCTAGTAGTGACCAGTGAAGAGGCGGGGCCAGGAGCTGTGAATCGACCCTTGTAACCACAACTAGGTGAGTACAACAAGGTGAGTACGTACACACGAGCGTGCATGCACATACACGCGCGTGGTCCAGCAACTGGCTCCTAAAATTTAGCCCTGCCAAATGAAAAGTCATGAAGATCGGGGAAGGGTAAAGAAGACTACAGACAGAGTATAGGCTAGGTGGCCAAAGACTGCAAACCTCACTCAAGGAGAAAGATCTAAGGGTGTGTATAATACCGAGCACATCGCCGGAAACACACATTAACCAGATAACTGCTGCAGCATATGGGTGCCTGGCAAATCCTACGAAGAAAGGTTAAGGGATATCGGCGTCACGACAATGGAGGACAGGAGGGTCAGGGGAGACAGGATAACGACATACAAAATACTGCATGGAATAGATAAGGTGGACAGACACAGGTTGTTCCAGAGATGGGACACAGCAACAAGGTGTCACAATTGGAAGTTGAAGACTCAGATGAGTCAAAGGGATGTTAGGAAGTATTTCTTCAGCCACAGAGCTGTCAGGAAGTGGAATAGTCTGGCAAGTGATGTAGTGGAGGCAGGAACCATACATAGTTTTAAGATGAGGTATGATAAAGCTCATGGAGCAGGGAGAGGGAGGACCCAGCAGCAGTCAGTGAAGAGGCAGGGCCAGGAGCCGAGTCTCGACCCCTGCAACCACAATTAGGTGAGTACAAGCGCACACATGCACGCACGCAGGCGCACACACACACACACCACACACACACACACACACACACACACACACACACACACACACACACACAAAACACACACACACACACCACACCACCCAACGCGCACAAACACAAAACCCACACACACACAAAGAGGGGAGGAGTGGGGGAGGGGCGGAAGAGATCA